AAACAGGTAGCCAATATGTTCTACATTGTAGTGATTATGGCTCTTGTATTACTTAGTTTTGGTGTTCCTAGAAAGGCAATACTTTATCCTCATGAAGCACCATCTTGGACTCTTGCTAAAGATATAGTTTTTCATCCATACTGGATGATTTTTGGTGAAGTTTACGCATATGAAATTGATGGTAAGAATTTATTTGTTTTGGTTAATTTGTTTTAAATCAATATTATATCAGTTATATTGCCTGTTTTTCAAAGTCAGATTTATAACCTAAGCCCCACACAATACATTACTTAATCCTGGGGGAAAAAGTAATTGAAAAGGGTTTTAATCTTTTTTTAGCTACAAGCAGTGGAAATCTGGCCTAAATTGTTGTACAAAGTGAGACTAGTTAATTATGAGCTCACAGGACAGAAAGTGGAATGATTTTTAGGATTAGTTATCATATAGATTTCCCTTAGCAGTGTAAGACTGTCATAGCAACAGAAAGACACTGTTAATCCTTGACTGTTTTTAGAGGGAAACAATTCCTTTTATAGAAATTCCCTTTGAACCTTTGTTTTCATTTTGTTAGCTCAACTTGACTTCAGCCTTTCCATCTCTAAAAGGGTTACTAGCAAGTGGGGTGGGAGTACAATGATTAGTTTAGACCAATCAGGATGGATTGAATATTGAAGAGCCGGCTCAATGGTAAATGACAAAAATAATATCATTTGGAAACCTTGAAGAGCTTGAGCATGTTGTTATATAGGGGATGACAGTTTTCAGGATTCTATCAAATTTGTGAGTATTGTCTCTAGGTAAGGCAAATATATGAATTATCCTCTACCTATTCAGCCCATTCTTAATTAAAAGATTGTCTGTTGCACAGTTTTGTTACCATTCATATTTGACTCCTATGATTATAAATAATGACCTAGATAATTTGTGAACATAGATGTTACCATTGGTTTTCAGGGGTACTCTTCTGCTGACCTCCACATTTGAGTTATAATCCTTTCTCTTATTCCTTCTCTTACTCTTTCTCTTCCTTCTTCTGTCACTCTTCCTTTGCCTCATACCTCTGTTGCTTCTTTTCCACCTATTTATGGGTGATTAGGTCAGGGGCTGCCCAGAAAGATTGTAATTAGGTTTGTGGATGGTTAAATCAAAGATTGTGGTCAATAGTCATTCTCAGATAGTTATAATAGTAACTTTTTACTTTTTACCACTAATCTGGTAAAACTTTGAGTGTAATGGCTACCTGTTTGGTTCAGTTTAAGGCATTTGTTGTCTGCTATTTTTCTAATGATGTTATCTCTAGTTGGGCAGTTGTTAATAAAGCATTGGGTATGGTTTTTGGTTTCCTGCATCTCTTTCTCGTGTATTTGCTTCCCCATACTAACCTGAATGGAATGGAAGTTGATTTATAAAACTGTTTAAAAGTAAAAGGACTTTATCACAATTTTCCTCTAAAATCTAAAGGAATAATACAGCCATTATGAGAATCTCAATGATTAAGACACTGAAAAGACAATTACTAATTTTAGTTAATTAATTAATAATTTACTTAAGTAATACTAATTTAAATAGCAAATATGAATTGCTAAGT